TGCCCGATTGCAAAAAAAAAAATAAAAAGAAATATCTAGCCTGGCCCTAATTATCCATCGTACTTTGTTCTGTTTTTTTTTTTTGTAAAATAGTAAAACCCAGCTGCAGCAACCTAAGTTTCTCTCTCCTTTGCGTTGTGCTTTAGTTTCGGACTCGGTCTGTTGTGAGACCTTCGCAGTTCGGTGGATCGGAATGCAGCGTGGAACTGACCGAGGAAAGGCCTTGCTATCCTTCCAAAGAATGCCAGTTACCGTCTGTGGACTGCAGAGATGACTTCAAGTGTGACAACGGTGAGTGGACTGAACATCTGACCCATTTCCCAAACTGTAATTGTATGATATGATTAAAAACAACCTTCCTCGTGCAGGGCGATGCATTAACTCCACACTGACGTGCAACGAACAGAACGACTGTGGAGATAACTCAGATGAGAGGGATTGCAAAACCTTTAAAGTTGTCTGTCCTGACAAGAGAGTGGCTCCCGGGGCTGATCTGGTTGGAAATGGGTAACTGGTTAATAATCACCCAATAACCCCTATTGAAGTGTGTAGCGGTGTGTTTTACTTATCATTTAATTCTTTATACAAAAAGGTACTGGTAGGTCTTCTGGTGTGTGTGGTAATTTTCTTCTCCACATGTAATGTAAACCGATGAAGAACTGAGAATTTCCTCTTTGCGGCTTTTCAACATAGATTTGATGCTCTGGCAGAAGAGCCAAGAGGAGTGGTGCTGGACAACATGTTCATGGGAGGAAGCTGCGTCATCAAGCGGCCCCCAAGCACGCTTCTCTACCATCGAGTTCCACACAACTTTAAAACCTTTGACATTAAGGTAGTCATTGATTATCACATTAATTAAAGCTTTTACCACCAATAAATACTGAGAGAACTTCAGGAAAAGGGATTAACTTGTTGCTACAGTTTTTAAACATCTGATATTTACTGACGATGTTGTTGTTTAGGTTGGAGTGCTGGAAGACTTTAGCACTGAACCCCAGGAGGTGGTTTCTGAGTCCGTCGAGATAAAGAGAACGAGGCAAAGTGAAACCGGGAGCCATGATCCACGTGGCTTTCTGTTTCTTCTCATTGTTTTCCATAGTTCTTCTGGTTCACGTCTTACTTCCAACAAGTTTGCATTTGAGGCTTCAAAGAAAAAGGTGATTTTTTAATGCTCAACATGACACTAATAAGCTATTTGGAATACAAACAGTGCTATTTGGAGCACTATAATCACTCTATCTCTGGCCCTATTTCTAGGACTCCAAGTTTTTCCGAGTGCACCAAGTTCTACCGATTTCTACATTTACAGTAAAGGAGCCACAGGACCTCGTCCTTTCTCTGCCATTTCAGCAGTTCCTACACGCTCTCCCCCTGGATTACAACTACGCCCTCTACAGGGAAATCTTCCAGCGCTTTGGCACACACTACTACAGCTCAGGAAAACTGGGAGGCCACTATGACCTGCTGTACCAATACAGCCGAGAGGAGCTCAAAAGTTCAGGTTAAACATTAAACCCTGCTGTCTAAAGTACAGAACATAATTAGTAATATTCAAAAAACAGCATATAAATAAATAAACAATACATACAGCAATAATTAGTATTTAAAAACAAGTTTTTAGAGGGAAAATATTTCATATTCGCAAAGAATAACCATATTTGTTTTATCTAGAAGCAAAATCACTGGAGTCAGAATAGATGTGTTTCCATCAGTATTTCTCTTTATGTGTATTTTGAAGTATCACATTAAAAGAGCTTGATGGTAGCAGCAAAATTTTAATCCAATTACTGGAATGCATTCATTAAACCTCTGCACTGGAAAAAACTGTCTAAAAATGAGCAAAAATGTCTTTAATTAAGTGAATTTAAACTTAATTTGAGTAGATAAATTAGATGATTTGCCAATGGAATGAGTATTTTTACTCTTAAAATTAGATATTTGGGTAATATGCACTTGAAATAAGACAACGCAATTGTGTTTTCTTATTTTAAATGTAGATTGTCTTATTCCATTGGCAACGTGTCTCACTTACCTCCTCATTTCAAGAACAAATGCACTGATTTTAAGAAAAAATGACTTGTTTAGATTTTGAATTTTTTCCAGTGTGTGTGTTACTGATCTGTGGTCTGCTCTAGGTTTTGCATATTAGAGCCATTCTTGAACATGCTGTATGCAGATATTACGCCTTGCTGGGTTAATTCACTCTCATGGACAGATTAAAGCATCTAATTGGCATTTTCTTTTTTCAAAATTTTAAAAGTTCACTCAGAAATTGCAGGACATTTGAATGGAAACACATGGAAATAATATGGAAAATATTATTTAGCCCCAGGAGTGACCCCCAATACATTTTTTAGAGTCCAGCTGTTTACGGTTTTAGCCAATAGCTAGCAGACACAAATTTAAATTTAAAGAGTTTGCAAAGAAAACCTGCATGGACATTCGTCTACAAATGTCCAAAATTAATATTATGGCTTATGGCATTTCAAAATGTTTAACTTACGTTGTTTTTTTCTGTACTTTCTATGAGGCAGGTGAAAGTGATGAGCGCATTTCAGGCTGTCTGAGTCGTGAAACCGGCTGGACTGTAATCCTGTACAGTGAATCCAGCAGCGTGTCCAGATGCACCAACAACAGGATGACTGAGAAATATCAAGGTTTGTTCTGACTTGCAGCAGGAAACAAGTTTTCCAAATGTCTATATACCCCCATGGGTTATTCTCTTTGGTCACTTCTTCCTCCTTTCTCTGGTCCAGGCTCATTCATCCAGGCCTCAGAGAAATCCTTCTCCATGGTGAAAGGAGGTAGAGTTAGGGAGGCGGAAGCTCTTACCTGGGAAAGAGAGGGCTCTGCTCCAAACAAGACATCTTACAAGAACTGGGCCAAGTCTGTGCTCGAAAACCCTGCTTTGGTGGATTACAAGGTAAAGTCCAGAGATCTTTATAGACCTCATACATCAGTAATTTTAAAAGCTTGGTTTAGTCTTCCTACCATCTGATTTTGTAGACAAATAAAAAGCTGTACGAATTTTACTTGCATAAGATTACAACTAGTTTCATCCCAAGACTGTTATTATTTAGGGAATTTGAGAGAAAGTATCAGAGCTGACTAAAATCCTGACCGAATGTTTATTGGATGCTTAAAATTATCTTTGGACTGGGAGGCTGTGTTCATGGTAGTTTATCTGTATCTTGTACTGTTTAGGGTGTAACTGCCTACTAACCAATGATCATTAGAAAATGCTCACCTAGTGCCACCCTAAAAGGACAGGGAGGGATAGACCAAGATATAATGGGAGGTGTTAACAAAAAACTAAAATAAAACAAGGAATTGGCTAAATCCATCCATCAATTATCTAACACGCTTGTCCCAATTGGAGTCACAAGGGTGGCTGGTGCCTATCTCCAGCTGTCAATTGGCCAGTCCATCGCAGGGCAACACAGAGACAAACGGGACATACGACCATTCACACACTCATACCTAAGGAGAATCTAGAGAAGCCAATTAACCTAACATTCATGTTTTTGGACTGTGTTTGGACTGTGGAAGCCAGAGTACCTTGAGAGAATCCATGCATGCTCAGGGAGAACATGCATCTCCATGCAGAAAGACCCCAGGTCAGGAATCGAACCCAGAACCTTCTTGCTGCTACCCACTGCGCCACTGAGCAGCCCGAACTGGCAAAAGATTTCCCAAAACGGCTGTTGCTGTCAAAGGTTCTGTCTGGTCTTGTGACAAGACGGCTGAGACTAGAACCTGTTTCCTGTTAGCCCAAGTGCTTAGTGCCACCTGCAGTCTATCGTTGGAAGAGGGGGTCCGTGTGCATCTCTTGGGGTTACCACCTGGCTCATAAGAAAGGGAATACTAACTTGTGTAATGAATATCCACGTTATCTAGAGCATAACTAAACAAACTTAATCGTACGCCCTCTGCCTGTCAGAAAAAGGGACAAATGGACCCAGTATTCAAGGTGAGACAGTCGGTAGGAAAGTTCAAAATGTTTATTTACACAAAAACAGACAGAACTATAGCGGGCTGCTGAAAATATGTGGACCTGTAGTGATTGCAGGAGGGGGAAGGGGCACCGACCAATCACTCACACTCTGGTTTAACAGTTCAGTCCATCCTCTCAATCTTAGGCAGGATAAGCTGATACACTGCCAACGAGAAGCGGCCCTGAGCCATCCAGAACATCCCCGATGCAGCAACCCCTGTGAACAAGCATGACTCCGACCCAGGACAGGGATTTAGATCAGACTGGAGTGGTACTGGAATTCAGGAATCCGCAGTCCAGTCAGGGGTTCCGATCCACTCAGGAATGGACAGATCCGGGTTCAAGGAATTCATCAGAGCGTGAAGGCCAGTTCAGAGGCCCGTGCATCAAGCATCCATCTCAGACAGAAAAGCACCTGGGAGGCAGAATCCAGCAGGAGTCCAACTGTGGTTCAGGCGAACAGATCAGGCAGGAACAGGCAGAGCCAGTGGGTGAGAGGGAAAGGAATCAGGAAATCAGTATCACTTAGGGAAACGCTGAAACGTTCTCACCAATGGTTGCGGAATAAACTTTCCTGAGGACACTGGCTTGAGAATAAACTCCTCACTGGAACATGAACCTTGGAAAACTAACAAAACTGACAAACCGGAAACTAACAGAAGACAAACAGGGAACCAACATCAAACAATGATCTGGCCTCGATAACTGGGCTGGACTGAATATAAAGCAAAAGACGCAGGTGGATGAGGTGAGTGATAATTAGAAAACTGGGCAGAGTTATTCAGGTGAGTGAAATGAACAATTCCAGCTATCAGGCCAGATCATGACAGTGTCCTTTGTTTGTCAAGAAAACTCATAGCTAGTCTTCCTAATATTGAGACAATTGTACTTCCTATGGAGAAAGTACAATGTTTACATTGATCACTGCTGCACTTTAAGAAATGTGAATGTTATGAGAGCTGTAAAAGCCAAAGTTTCATTTTGTAGACACTACAATAAAGTTTGTCTAAGTCTAAGATATGCTAAATATAATAAATCTTTGTATTAAACACCATGTTTTCTTTGTTTAGGTGCTTCCGCTCATAGACCTCGTACGTGGAATTCCCTGTGCTGTCACAAAAAGGAGGCACTTGAGGAGAGCTCTGTTACAATACCTGGAGGAGTTTGATACCTGCAAGTGCGCCCCGTGTCCCAATAATGCCAGGCCAGTTCTCTCTGGTACCGAGTGCAAGTGTGTTTGTCAGACAGGAACTTTTGGAACCAACTGTGAGAAACGAGCGTCTGATTACACATCAGGTAGGAAGACTCTGTGGTACCAAACTCATTTAAGGGGAACTTGTACATTTTATTGTCTTAAATAAATTAGTTCGGATTATTTGGCGGTTAGTTTCTTACTTTATGTCGGTTTTGAAGAGTCCTTGAAAATGTAAAAAAGAAAGTTTCTAGTGACTGTTTAAGTCAGGCATTCCCAAAGTTGGTCCTCGAGGGCCGCTGTCCTGCAGGTTTTAGAAGTTTCCCTGCTCCAGCACAGCTGATTTACACTGACAGTTAATTAACAGGCTTTTGCTGATCTGCAGTCATCAGCTGACTGTAAACATCAGCCCCAAAGCAGAAGAGACCCAAGTTAAGAATCTTTCCATATAATTATTAAAATGAGTTTTAAGATAGCGGGCGCTGTACCGCTCCGTCGTGGTGAAGAGAGAGCTGAGTCAAAAAGTGAAGCTCTCGATTTAACGGTTGATCTACGTTCCTACCCTCATCTATGTTCATGAACT